AAAAGTATCTTAAAACTGTGAGGACTAATCCTGTAGAAGTTTTCATTAAAAAAAAAAAAAAGAAAGAAAGAAAGAAAAAAGAAAGGAAAAATTCCCAAACTGAATATTGAAAAGCTCACTGTCAGCCTCTGAAATTAAAAAAAAAAAAAAAAAAAAAGCTTATTAGACAGTTCTATGATCCCTTAAAAAACCAAGTCTTAGGCCAGGTGCTGTGGCTCACGCCTGCAATCCCAGCACCTTGGGAAGCTAAGTGCGGAGGATCGCTTGAACCCAGAAGTTGAAGACCCCCCTGGGAAACTAGTGAGACCTCATCTCTAAAGAACAAATAAATAAATAACCAAATCTTTCCCATAGGGAATGACAACAGTTCAGTAAAAAACAAGCTCCAAACCTTGGATAGAATTTAAAAAAAAGAAGAAGAAAGCCACACTAATCTCATTTCAACCTCATTTCTTTTTTGATAGGATTACCAGGTCAAGACATTCAGAAAATACATAGATGGTGTTCTATTTCAAGTTCATTAAGGCATGTAATCCCGTTCCTCATGACAGTAAAATGAAATGTGGGCTTTATGATAATAGAATCAGACTTATGATACCGGAATAACTGTCCACCAATCACCACCCACTAGATGAAGAAACAGAAGCCACGCATGCCACAGTGGGGAGGAACAGGACAGAGCAGAGCTGCGAGCTGAGAGGTAGAGTTGTGATGAAAATTAACAGACTGAAAACAGAGGTTTGAAATCAACAAGATGTAATTTAATAGGAATACACTGAAAAGTAATTATTTTTTAAAGCCTCAAGTACAAGATGTGAAGGACTGTTCTGATGGGCACACTTCCTGGGGAAAGAGCTAGGTGCTTCAGCTGCATATAGGATGAGTGCGACACCATGAAGTGGCTGAGACAGAGACCGTGGTGACAGCCCTGCCGCTCTCCCTGCGCATCTGACCACAACTGGAACCTGCATCTCGCCTCATAAGAACATTCAGAAACTGGAAAGTGTTTAGAGAAGGGAAACAGAAAGTCACGTCACATGAAGAAAAGTTGAGCGAACAGGCAGTGGGCCTGTGCTTCCACCACATACAAAAGGACTTCAGTGTTGTTTTAAGAGTCACACAGTCACTAACAGACAGTAATTACTAGAAGGCAATGCTCAACACAAGTAAGCATCCAAAAATAAAGTTGTCTGCCCCACAGTTCTCATGCCATCACTTAAGATTCATTCAAGCAGAGGCCAAAAGACCATGAGGAAGTTTGCCAAAAGGCCTGCAGCGCTGGGCAGGTAACCCAAGGTCTCTTCCAACCACAAGAGCTTTGATCTTGGGGATAAGGAGGCTGAAGCTGTTTGACACCGAGTCATTCAAATGCAGCAAGTCACTCTTGATGCAGAATAGTCTAGTGTAGCACATCCCAGACTGAATGCTGGCAGGGCAGGTAGGGACACAGGCTTCAGTCAGATCAGCCTTCCAACCTCAGCTGTGCCACTGACAGAGCTGTGGGACTATGAGCACATTTCCCAACCTCTCAGCACCTTAAATTTTCTCATCAGTGAAACGGAAATAATAAACACCTTTTCCTCAAAGGGCCGTTGGCAGAATAAGTTAATTACACAGCAAAGTGACTGGCACATAGTAAGCATTTGACAAATCTGATCTTTTATTACTATTGTTGGTATTAACAACAAATAACTTGAACTAACTGGACACCTGGCGTGGATGCAGGCGTCAACATGCTTATTCCAATTTCCCCACTCTCCCAAGAAGCTCGGTCACTGAAAGCACTGCTGGGAAGGTGGAGAATACCAGAGGACGATGACAGCTGACATTAACTGGGCACCTGCTGCGTGCCAAGCGTCACTCCACCAACTGTGACATTCTGTTAGTTTCCCAGCAGCCCTGTCATCTGCCTTTCCAGATATGGAAACTGAGATTTTTAGAGGCTAAATATCTTGCCCAAGGGCACAGAGCTAGAAAGTTACAAGTTAAGATCTAAATCCAGGTAACTGGGCTTCAGAGCTCATGCTCATAACCACAAAATCAATAGTTCTCAATCCCGGCTGCACATTAAAATCACCTGGGAAGATACAAAAACAGTAACTCTCATCCAGCTGCGGTGGCTCACACCTGTAATCTGGCACTTTGGGAGGCCAAGGCAGGTAGATCACAAGGTCAGGAGTTCAAGACCAGCTTGGCCACAATGGTGAAACCCCGTCTCTACTAAAACTACAAAATTAGCCGGGCACAGTGGAACATGCCTGTAATCCCAGCTACTCGAGAGGCCGAGACAGGAAAATCATGTGAATCCGGGCAGCAGAGGTTGCAGTGCGCCAACATGGTGCCACTACACTCCAGCCTAGGTGACAGAGCGAGACTCCGTCTCAGAAAACAAAACCAACAGCTATCCCTGGGACCTATCCAACCCCAACTAATGTAAACTGATCTGAGACGGGCAGCAGGAACACTATCCTAGGCCATGCTGACTCCTGGATGAAGAACAGACTGAAATAAGCAACCTTCCCCAGCTGACATCCCAGGGCAGACCTTACTGCCTTTTTTAGGAATATCTTTAGAACCATGAGATTGAAGTTGTATTTTAAAAAAAGGAAAAAAAAATTTTTTAATTAAAAGTTAACCCCAAATGTGATCCTAAGTATCGTATTTCTATTTTACAGACAAGGACATTGAGACTAACAAGGCTCAAGAACTCACCCACAGTCACAAAGGAACTGAGACTAGATTCCAGGAGGAGGTGAGAAACCACTTCAAGTGGGTAAGCAGAGATGCTTCATGGAGGAAGTGACACCTGACCAGAGACAAGGCATGCAACAAGGAAGGGCAAATGTGCAGAGTGAAAGGCATGGACCATATCAGAGGCAAGCTGCCTCAAGGAACGCTCTCAGGACCAGAAGATAACAGGTGTGATAATAAGTGTCTAGAGCAGGGAGGAAAAGAAAAAACAAACAGGTGTGATAAAACCATGATTCCCTCAAGGTAGAGCTGTGAGAGAGGACCCTGACTGCGCAGGCACCTGACAGCACGTGGCCTGCACAGGACTTCCTCAAACAGAAACCCCCGCCCACGAGGGAAGCAAGGTCGTGTTTCTGACCTGAACGAGTCATGCAGGTTAAAGAGTGAGGCGGCTCTAGAGTTCAGCTCTGCTCCACACTACTGTGCCGTTGGGACTCACTGAGGGGGGACACCATGTCAGTCACTAGCACCATATCCTACACCGAACAGCAGCAGAGCCAAGGAGTTAAGAGCGAGGCTGGAGAGTCCGATAAACCAGGTTTGAATCCTGATTCCACCTTTTCTAGCTACATAACCCTGGGCAATTTATTAAACTACTTTGAGCCTGCTTCCTCCTTTGTAAAATAGGGATCAAAATATATTCCTCAGGCCGGGCGCAGTGGCTCAAGCCTGTAATCCCAGCACTTTGGGAGGCCGAGGCGGGTGGATCACGAGGTCAAGAGATCGAGACCATCCTGGTCAACACGGTGAAACCCCGTCTCTACTAAAAATACAAAAAATTAGCTGGGCATGGTGGCGTGTGCCTGTAATCCCAGCTACTCAGGAGGCTGAGGCAGGAGAATTGCCTGAACCCAGGAAGCGGAGGTTGCGGTGAGCCGAGATCGCGCCATTGCACTCCAGCCTGGGTAACAAGAGCGAAACTCCGTCCCAAAAAAAAAAAAGCAAAAAAAAAAAAAAATATATATATATATATATATTCCTCACAGAGTTGCTGTGAGCAACAAAAAAGACATATGCAATGTGCTTAACAGTGTCTGGTCAAGAAGCAAGGTCACAAAAACAGCAGCTATTCTTTCATTCATTCAACATATTTACAGAGCTTTTGCTTTTATCAACCAAACAAGGTCGCAGAAGCTCACACAATACAGCAGAGGCCTTTACCGTGTGTTCGGAAAAGCTGCCTACTGAGCCCTTTATGAACACCCAAATGTGCAAACACCACAGAGGGAAGCCTTTTGCATTCATGGATTTATATTAGAGCAGAATAATAAATAAGAACATAGACTCACTAAAAAAGTAGTAATTTTTCCTTTTATTTATAAATTGTTTTAGAAAACTGTAGCAGACTATACTATAATTCAAGGTGAGTTCTAGGGTGCAAAATACACCAACAAAACACAAAAGTGTAATAAAATCACAAGTGCAACTGGAAGGGCAGGCTTAAAACTCAGGGCAGGGTTAGTTTAGCTTTCTCTGACAATAGGATTATCACCAGATTCAGATTTCTTTTTTTTTTTTTGAGACAGAGTCTCACTCTTGTCCAGGCTGGAGTGCTGTGGTGCAGTCTCAGCTCACTGCAACCTCTGCCTCCAGGGTTCAAGCGATTCTCGCGCCTCAGCCTCCCGAGTAGCTGGGATTACAGACATGCGCCACTACACCCAGCTAACTTTTGTTATTTTTCAGTAAACGGGATTTCACCAGGCTGGTCAGGTTGGTCTCAAACTCCTGACTACAAGTAATTCCCCTGCCTCGGCCTTCTCAAAGTGCTAGGATTATAGGCATGAGCCACCATGCCTGGCCAATAGATTCAGATTATCAATAAAAGTGTTCATGGCTTTTCCCCACCAATCTCAAAATTGCTCCAACCCCCTAAAAGAAGGTCTCACTGTGATACACATTCACTACATTTAAAGGCAAAGAAAATTAACACCTCTATGATAAAAGCAGAAAATGAGGAAGGGTCCTTAGAAGCACGGGTTTGAATCTCAGCTCCACCACTAACTGGTAACTTTTTCTGGGCCTCCTCAGAAAAGACAATCTCTTATTTCCCAGCTCTAATATCTGAGCCAGCTGACAGCATCTGAACCTTAAACAGGTGACTTCAGAAATGGAGACTCACAGGTCCCTTCTCGCAGGAGTGTTTGGATAAGGAGTGGACACGCAACGCAAGGCCAGAAGCATGAGACAATGGCAGGAAAAAGTCCTTCTCTGGGGAAATGTGGAAAAATTTCACCCAAAACACCCTGTACCTTTCTTCATCATGTCTCGGTCCAAGGCTACATTTCTTTGGGCAAGGTTTACTTCTGATCGAAAATGGAAGCGCTTGGCTCGCTGTTCTTTCTTTTCAATTGCTTCCTAGAAAGTACAGAAAAAGTTACAGTAGTAAAAGATGGCGAAGTCACGTTAAATTACAAGTGCATCACGATGCATCACTGGCAAACCTGAAATACACAGGAAGAAATAAGCAGCACTGCACCCTGAATAAGCTCCGCAGAGACCTGGACATTCACACTCAATGACCGGGAGGGCATACACTAGTACTGCTGTGACTTACAACCATGGCCAACCCCACACCACCTGTCACTGTGCCTGGGATACACTAGGAAGTCAGTGAGTATCTGCTGACTGAATGAAGAGTGCTTTACCGTTTACGAAGTTATATGACATTGCATTTGTTACTATCAATTATGCCAACAAATTACAACGAAACAATTTCAACATCCCAATTTTCCAGGGGCAGAAATGGAGGCACAAAAAAGCAGAAAGGTGGCCGGGCGCAGTGGCTCACGCCTGTAATCCCAGCACTTTGGGAGGCCGAGGCGGGTGGATCACGAGGTCAAGAGATCGAGACCATCCTGGTCAACATGGTGAAACTCCGTCTCTACTAAAAATACAAAAAATTAGCTGGGCATGGTGGCACGTGCCTGTAATCCCAGCTACTCAGGAGGCTGAGGCAGGAGAATTGCCTGAACCCAGGAGGCGGAGGTTGCGGTGAGCCGAGATCGCGCCATTGCACTCCAGCCTGGGCAACAAAAGCGAAACTCCGTCTCAAAAAAAAAAAAAAAAAAAAAAAAAAGCAGAAAGGTTTGCTGGAATACTTCGGCTAGTAAGCAAGCAGATCTGATTCCAGTGCTATTTCTAGGGGCCCACCTACAACCACCATTTCTCATTGTCTGTGGGCATGGTAATCACACCTATCACGCTCTTCCACATTATATCTGCCTGAGTAGTCCAGTCCCGAAAGCTAGTCTGTTTAAAAATAACACTGAAGCAAAAAAAAACCTCTCTCTCCTCTTCCAGCTTTGTGTCCATGGAATCACCAGTTTTCATCTTTAAGAACCATTGACACTTCTCGGAAAATATAAGTTTCTTCTAGGAGGTAAAATAAACCCAGGTCCACCTGTGGGCTTCTTTCTGATGGCTCCTAGGAACCCTTCACTAATTGCCTTTTTTTTTTTTTTTTGCTTGCTTTGTTTTTGAGATGGAGCCTCGCTCTGTCACCAGGCTGGAGTGCAGTGGCACGATCTCAGCTCACTACAACCTCCACCTCCCAGGTTCAAGTGATTCTCCTGCCTCAGCCTCCAGAGTAGCTAGGACTACAGGCGTGTGCCACCACGCCTAACTAATTTTTGTATGTTTAGTAGAGACGGGGTTTCACCATGTTGGCCAGGATGGTTTCGATCTCTTGACCTCGTGATCCGCCCGCCTCGACCTCCCACAGTGCTGGGATTACAGGCATGGGCCACTGCGTCCGGCCCCCTTCATTAATTGCATGTTGACTCTGCCACGCTAACTGAAGGTCTGACTACAGACACCTTGCGGGGATTGGTAAAGTAGCAACACATCTGTTATTTCCCAATAGTTATGCCCATTTTTCCACTGAAGTCTTCCCAGTACAAACAATTTACCTTCCTTTAGAAACAAAGTACTAACTCTGAGACTACCACCCTTCTCCCAAATACCTGTTTCATATCATGGCAAACGGTGTAAGATTATGAACAGTCTACTTATTCAATTACACTAAAAAAAAGATTTTCACTTTATTCTCTTTTCTTGTCTAAAAGATGACCAATTCTATTTTTTTTTTTTTTTTTTTTTTTTTGCCTTTAAGTAACTGGAAACGCACTGAAACACAGATAAACTATAAAAAGGTTAGCTGAGCGTGATGGCATCTGCCTGTAGTCCCAGCTAATCAGGAGGCTGAGGCAGAAGGATCAACTGAACCCAGGAAGTGGAGGTTGCAGTGAGCGGAGATTGTGCTCTGAACTCCAGTGATAGAGTGAGACTGTCTCAAAACAAAAAAATAAAAACAAAACAAAACAAAAACTATAAAAAGGTAGGCATGAGATATTTTTATTTTTGCTTTTACCTATTCCATACAGCAATATATGCTATTATTCAGAAATGTAATACAAAATTGTTCCAAACAGCACAATTAAAATCAGAAAAATTGTCTAAAATTGAACATCACTGATTAAAGCAACTTACATGTATTGACTACGTAGAAGGAAAATAATAGGCTTGACTCTATGAGGTGTTACAGTGAAGGTGGTAATCTAGCAATAGCGATCGTTAGATACAAGCCTGAGAATAATTCCTCTGACTTGGGCTTCAAACTTCAGACAGCCAGGCAATCAAGAAGCCCTATTTTTCTAAGTCTACAACTGATGAGGAATAAAGCCTATTATGTGCCTACTATGTGCCAGGCACTTTTTATGTTTTGTTTCGTTTCAACTGAAATAGTACACATTTTTTAAAGAACGGACATACCATTTAAAAAAGCATTCCTGATACTGGCCACTTTCTTGGAAATGGTTACATACAGGTATCTAGGTAGAGTGAGTTTACCTCTCCATGACTGTCCTGCACAGTTTCAGGATGCATGAAGACATCATTGTATAACACAACATTTTGTTTTTTTGAGACAAGGTCTCACTGTTGCCCACACTGGTGGGCAATGGCACGATTTCAGCTCACTGCAGTCTCGACCTCTCAGACTCAAACGATCCTCCCACCTCAGCCTCCTGGGTAGCTGGGACGACAGACATGTGCCACCATACCCAGCTAATTTTTGTATCTTTTGTAGAGATGGGTCTCACTGTGTTGCCCAGGCTGGTCTGGAACTCCTGGGCTCCAATGATCCACCTGCCTTGGCCTCTCAAAGTGCTAGGATTACAGGTATGACATTTAAATCCAGCAACAAAAGAAAAAAGAAAGTATTTAGTGTTAAGTACTAGGGGTTAGGTTGATTAAGTTCACTTGCTCATCACCCTGAATAAAGGCATCCCAGTCTGCCTTACCTTGGAGGTGACATCAATCCCGGTGATGAAGCTGCCAGCCTTGTTTTCATATCTTCTGCTTGTGTCCTAACACAAAGGGGAAGGGTAAGAAATTCAGACAGCAACTGAGGAAAAACCCATGATAAAAGTCAGCCTGCCGACTGGTTGGTTTTTTTTGTGACAGTGTCTCACTCTGTTGCCCAGGCTGGAGTGCAGTAGAAGCATCACGGCTTACTGCAGCCTCAACTCCCCTGCAACCTGGACTTCCCGGGCTCAAGCAATCCTCCCATCTCAGCTTCCCGAGTAGCTGGGCCTTTGGGCATGTGCCACCTCGCCCAGCTAATTTTTTTATTTTTGTAGAGGCAGGGTCCCCCCTATGTTGCCCAGGCTGGTCTCCAACTCCTGGGCTAAAGCAGTCCTTTTGCGTCAGTCTCCCAAAGTGTTAGGATTACACACATGAGCCATCACACCCACTCTGGTTTTGTTTTTCTGTTTGTTTGTTTTTTGAGATGGAGTCTCGAGCTATAGCCCAGGCTGGAGTATAGTGGTGTGAACTTGGCTCACTGCAGCCTCCACCTACCGGGTTCAAGTGATTCTCCTGCCTCAGCCTCCCGAGTAACTGGGATTCTAGGCATGTGCCACTGCAGCCAGCTAACTTTTTTATTTTTAGTAGAGATGAGGTTTCGCCATGTTGGCCAGCTGGTCTCAAACTCCTGACCTCAGGTGATCTGCCTGTCTCAGCCTCCCAAAGTGCTGGGATTCCAGCCGTGAGCCATTGCACCTGGCCAGTCTGGTTCTTTTTGAATAGTCATTCTTTTCAAAACCCTTTCCTACCCCTGACAACCTTTTATTAAGAAGCCCCATGCCAGTGATTCTATGCTATCAATCAGATCTTCCAATAAGAAGATCAGAGCCTATCCAAAACCTGAAGTAATTGCATCAACTGAAAGTATCCATGTAAAGAAAATCTAATGGCTTTTTGGAAAATGTCAAAAGATGAGGCACACTCAGCTCCCCAACCTCGTCTGAACAAATCCCCATGTCCCGCCACCAGGTGGAGCATAACCCTCCACCTCAGTGCAGAAGGTCCAGCCTCACCTAGAACTCCCGACCGGCACAGTACAATGCAAAGAGGATGGGATGTGAATACCAGGCGAGCACTGAAGCCTCGGCTCTGACGATCACTAATTACAGGACATTGTGGTTTCCTTGACCTCTCTGAGTCTGTTTCCTCCGTGGTATCTACCTGCCTTCATGAGCTCTTTTACTGCTCTTCCATTTGTGCTACCAACTTTCCAACAATCCTGGACCCACTGCAGAGCCTCTGTGCTTGTTATTGCTCCTGCTGGAGAACTCCCTTTCAATCTGCACAAGGCTGGCTCCCTTTTGTCATTTAGAGTTTAGCTAAAGTGTCACTCTCTCAGAGGACTTCCCTGACCATCCTATTTATCACATTCTACTTCCCCCTCTGCACAGACTCCCCCTCCCCCCACTCTCTCCCCTTCTCTCCTCCCCGTGCTACACCCCCCCAGCACTCTCTATCCCATTAACATGGTTTACTTTCTTCACACTACTTAACACTGACAAAATTATTTATTTACTGTGCCCCCACCTGGAACATAAACTCCAGGAGGGAGTTTGATCTTGATCTTGATCAAGGCACCTAGGACTGTGCCTGGTACATAGTGGGGGATGCGATAAACAATACACGTTGAGGCCGGGATGCAGTGGCTCATGCCCGTAATCCCAGCACTTTGGGAGCCTGAGGCGGGTGAATAACAAGCTCAGGAGTTAGAGACAGCCTGGCCAACATGGAGAAACCCTGTCTCTCCTAAAAATACAAAATTAGTCAGGTGCGGTGGCGGATGCCTGTAGTCCCAGCTACTCGGGAGACTGAGGCACGAGAATCACTTGAACCTGTGAGGCGGAGGTTGCGGTGAGCCGAGATCGCGCCATTGCACCCTAGCCTGGGCAACAAGAGTGAAACTTCGTCTCAAATAAATAAATAAATAAATACACGCTGAACTGAATGACTGAAGGAATGGTAACAACTACTTCACAACAGCAGTGATATTTATTTCGGTTTTGTTTTGTTTTTGAGATCGGGAGAAGCGAAAGGAGGGACCCCAAAGGGGCCTTGCTATGTTGCTGAGGCTGGTCTGAAACTTAGACTCCTGAAGAGCTGGTACGCGTGCACGGCCAGTATATTTAAGTGACACAATGAAGCGAATGGCAGTGAATGAAGTGAATGGTAAATCTACTATGTAACTGCTGTTAATCATAACCATTCACGTCTGCCCTCTCTGGCGATCATACCTTAACCTTTCTCCGTAACTTCAGTCTAAATATGTTGACATGTGGTCAAAAGTGGTTCATGTTAGGTGAGAAATTAAGAGGGGTCATCCAGGCCTGAGACCAGCTCTAAGAACTGGATACCCAGCCACCAAGCCACAAGCAAAACCCCTCTCAGCTTCCCCAGCGTGGTGAAGGAGGGACCAAGGACGTCTATTGGTCGTCTCCACTTTGTTTTGAGTCAGATGCTGGGGCCACGGTGTAGGTGCCAGTGGGGCCGCGGGGGTCAGGGCGACCCTGATCACGACAGAAGCAGTGAGCTCCGCTGCTGACAATGTATCTGTCTGCTGCTCTACGCACTCCCAAGAGAAAGAGCGAGCGCCGTGTTTCACAGACCCCACTCCTCCGGGGCAAGACCCTCAGGAGACCTGGGCGCTGGCGCCACCCAGCAGCTCCTTCGGGGCTGTCCTGGTTCTGTTCCCGCCCAGGGCTCTCCCTTTATCTCATCCCTCCAGCCCCTCCTCACTCACCCCCTTGCACTGCGCGGCTCGGAGGGGGCAGCGGAGGGGGGGTCCTCAACTCCCTCCCAGCTCCCCGCCACCCCCTCAACCCCCATTTCCGGCGCCCCGGCGTCCTTTCTCCTGCTCCGCGTTCCTACTCCAGACCGGCGCCCCCGGCCCCAGGGCGCGGCTCCCCTCTCTCCCGCTCCTCCGACTTCCCCAGCTGGGGCTCCGGCCACCGCCCCTTCCGGCCCCCTCCGGCGCCGGGCACTCGCCCTGCGACCTCCTCCGAGCCCCCCGACCCTCGCCCGTACCGGGATCAGTTCCTTCAGCGAGCGCCGCACCGGCACGATCTCCAGCTCGCCCTCCTCCACCTCCATGGGCTCCGGCTCGCCACGGTCTACGCCGGACTCCGCCTCAGGGGACGGGAGCCCGAGGGCCGGCCCCGCCGGGGCCTCTGCCTTCACCGACACCCGCAGGCCCCGCACGGCCGCCATCGCTGCCTGCCGGCCGCAGCACCGAGAGCCCGCCCCTCACGGCCGCCGGCTAGAGCGCCACGGCCACTGGCCACAGAGGAGCCGCCGCAGCCACCTAGAGCGTCGCCGGCTTCCGCCAGAAGGCCGCCCTCAGCGCCGCTGCCCCCTGGTGGCGGGAGGAACCCGGGCGCGCAGCGCCGGCGGGACCTGGAGAGGAGAAGGCGGGACTGAGCGGGGGAGGGGGCGGGGCCTGCGGGAGCGGACGGAGCCTGGGGGACCCCGGGTATTCTGGGGTTGCAACGCCTTGAGGCTAACCCTGCACTAAACGCTCACTTTACTGGGCGATCACTATGTGCCAGGCACTCCCAAGCCCTCGAACCCTTAGAACAACTCTGTGAAGTATATCCTATTATGACCCCCATTTCATGTATGAGGAAACTGAGGCATAGACATTGACCCAAAGAAGCCGGGCGCGGTGGCTCACGCCTGTAATCCCAGCACGCTGGGAGGCCGAGGCGGGCCGATCACAAGGTCAAGAGATCGAGACCACCCTGGTGAAACCCTGTCTCTACTAAAAAAATAGCTGGGCGTGGAGGCGCGCGCCTGTAGTCCCAGCTACTCGGGAGGCTGAGGCAGGAGAATTGCTTGAACCCAGGAGGCGGAGATTGCAGTGAGCCGAGATTGTGCCACTGCTCTCCAGCCTGGCGCCTGGCGGCAGAGCAAGGCTCTGCCTCAAAAAAGAAAGAAAGAAAGAAAGAAATTGACCCAAGGTGACAGGCTATGGAAGGGACAAGAGCTGGATCTGAGTCTGGCTCCGGAGCTTCCAGTGAGCCTTGCCATGTCACCTCTGGGCACTCTGTGCGTTTATAAAGTTACTTGCCTCACCAGTCTTTGTCTCTTCAAAGACTCCCCCAGATTGGCCCATGTTGCATACACAAAGACTGAGACTGCAACAGAGAGGGGCCCGCCCAAAGGCCAAAATGTGGACGCCAATTTCCCGACTCCTGAGGGTGCCATCCACTGTAGACCTGTGAGCAGATATTTCTAAGGAGAGCCTGGTGGGGGAGAGGGGAGTCTTCTAGGTGTCCAGAGGGTGTCACGTTCAGAGGGTGTGAGCGATTGTTCTGAGTCCTCATTTTCTTTCTTCTTTCTCTCTCTTTCTCTCTTTTTCATTTCTTTTTCCCTCCCTTTGTCCTTCCTTCTTTCCTTTCTTTCCTTCTTTCTCTTTCTTTCCTTCCCTCCTTGCCTCCCTCCCTCCCTCCCTCCTTTCCTTCCTCCCTTCCTTCCTTCCTTTTCTTTTTTGTAGAGACAGGGTTTCAGTATGGTGGCCAGGCTGGTCTCTAACTCCTGACCTCAAGTGATCCACCACCTCAGCCTCCCCAAGTGCTGGGGTGACAGGCATGAGCCACAGCGCCCAGCCTGAGTCCTGATTTTGCATCTTCCTTTCTGGGACAGGCTTTGGAGTCTGTTTTCCCATCTGAGGAGGGCATAGGGGAGACCCCACAGTCTCTGAGACCCTATCAGCTCTGACCACGGAGGAGCAAATCGTGATAAACCAAGGAAGAGCTTGGCCAGCATCAGACAAACCTGGGTTTCCAGCTGGCTGGCCCTGTCCCATGCACCATGTGTGACCTTGGGCAAGCTGTTTAGCCCTACGGAGCCTCAGCTCCCTCATCAGTAAAACGGACCATTACCCCCCTCCAAAGGAGGCTGTGAGGATTAGATGTGATAATTTACATGTAGATACAGGACCCAGTAGTACAATACATCATAGTTTTTCTTAAATTTGGGCTAAACCGCAGGATAAACACAAGACGGAGCTCTTCAGAGGACTAGTTTTATTCTATGAATGGGACACAAAGTAGTTTTAAAAATTGAGTTGAATGCATATGTAGAACGCGTGTGCACATGCGTGTGTGCACGTGTGTGTGCGTGTGTTTAATTTCCTTTTTTTTTTTCTTTGAGATGGAGTCTCGCTCTTTCACCCAGGCTGGAGTGCAATAGCGCAATCTCGGCTCACTGCAACCTTCACCTCCCGGGTTCAAGCGATTCTCCTGCCTCGGCCTCCTGAATAGCTGGGATTACAGGTACCTGCCACCACACCCGGCTAATTTTTGTATTTTTAGTAGAGACGGGGTTTCACCATGTTGGTCAGGCTGGTCCCAAACTCCTGACCTTGTGATCCACCTGCCTCAGCCTCCCAAAGTGCTGGGATTACAGGTATGAGCCACCATCCTGGTCATGTGTTTAATTTCAAACAAAATGTGTACGTGGGGTGGCCAGCTATCGGTGACAGTCACAGGCCCCATCATTACTAGGCCTATGGGGTGAGGGGATGGGAGAGGAGGAAGCAATCCCTCCTCAGCTATGGACATCGGGAGGCCAGGAGAGAAGCCTGGGCAGTCCCCTCTCCCTGCTGGGGAGGAGCCCTGTTGCTTGCGGCCTCAATTCAGTGATGATTCAGTGTTGCAGTTCAGTGCCATTCAGAAGACACCCAGTGCCCTGGCACTGTAGCTGGTAGGTACATTGGGAGTCCAGGACAAGCCACGACATGAGGCAAACATCAAGGCTCCCAGGCTCGTGCAGGAAAGCCCTCTGTGCCATTCTCTTTTTGGTCACCTTATCCGCCATCTCCCACCCCCTTTCTTGTTCGCAATGTAGCCACTGAGTTGGAACCACAGAGAATTTAGGAAGGTGGTAAAGGCCAATTTTCAAAAACTAAAAAACATGATTCTCAAACAGATGTAAAATGAACACATGTCAAAGCTTGCATCGATTCTTTAGTAAAGGAGGACACCCGTAGAAACATTAAGAACAGTTCAAAAGAGAATTTGAAGGTAGTTGGTCAAAGGAATGCTGAGATGAATTTGACAAGGCAAGTAAATGCCCTATAAAGCAAGAAACTATAACCTCAGGGATTCCCTTTACCACCAGACTTAAAATGTTTGCATTACTGCTGGACAAGAATTATTTACTTGTCATGAATTTTCTATAAACTTCTATTCTCAGTTGTAAAATGTCCTAATAAATATAAGAAGTCAAACAGGCCGGGCACAGTGGCTCATGCCTGTAATCCCAGCACTTTGGGAGGCCAAGGCAGGTGGATCACATGGTTAGGAGTTCGAGACCAGCCTGGCCAACATAGTGAAACCCCGTTTCTCTGAAAACACAAAAATTAACTGGGCACAGTGGCAGACACCTGTAATCCCAGCTACTCAGGAGGCTGAGGCAGGAGAATCACTCGAACCCAGGAGGCGGAGGTTGCAGTGAGCCAAGATCACACCACTGCACTCCAGCCTGGGTGACAGTGTGAGACTCCATCTCAAAGAAAGAGAGAGAAAGAGAAAGAGAGAAAAAAAGAAAGAAAGAAAGAAAGAAAGAAAGAAAGAAAGAAAGAAAGAAAGAAAGAGGAAAGAAAGAAAGAAAGAAAGAAAGAAAGAAAGAAA